GTTTCACGATAACTTTGTTGTTGACATTATCTTGCTCAAACATATAAAATGTGACTTATTTCTATTTTATGATGTAATATAAAAATAATTCAACATTCGCTGTCATCAATAATCTGGTAATATAATATAATTATTGGTATTAAAAATAATTACGATTAAGATAATGGACCGGTAGAATCAACGGCTGATTTATCTGAATAAATTGATGAGAATGAAAACTATCAAGGAAATTGATGATGATATTATATAAAACATCTCCAGGCTTCAATAAAAGTACTTTACGAAATAAAGCAAAAAGTTGTAAAGATTTATAACCTATTTAAAAAAAATAGGTACCCGTAAGAATAAGCAAGTTAGGTTATATAGTGCGAGTTTTATTTTAAAGCTCACTAATATGCAAATAAAGACGAGGGAAATCATTTCGGAGCCTAAGGCTTGTTTTTCTTTTGCATTTTCGATGTTATATTATCAACTGCCAATGATAATTTTCATTAGCATCTTTTATGAAAAAAAAGGGAAGATTATACTATATATCAGTTTTATATGTAGTTGCATTCCTTTTTTAGAATATTTGCGTATTCAATCAAATGATTTAAGTGAATCTTGAAAAAGAGGAATCCCGTGGCAAAAATGTCAACAAGAGGTCTATCCCAACGTAATGTCTCCCTCCATGAAATAATATATAAAACATAATTTACTTTTGAATTTATTTAAAAACCAAATTATTTTAATTACAAAGAATAAATAAGATCAGGATATAGTTTTTGAAGTAAAAGTTGTGAACATGAATGCTCACCAAGCTCAAAAAAATAATGAATAAGTTTTGATAAATGAGTTTTACAAACTAAAAATTTCCTAAAAATCAAATATTTATAAAAATAAATTTGGCAGTAAGGGAAATGGGAATAACAATTGATACAGCTTTATCTTTTATTTATTTTTTCCAAGTAAAATAAAATAAATCACAGAAAATCAAAAACTATAATTAAAACAAACCAAAATTTCCTGTTAGATCATCTTGCATAAAATATGCCTGGAAGAAATATTTACATCACTGCTGAAACCTGGCTTTCTTGTCCATGAGTTCCAAGTATTTCTAAAAATGCGCATGTTGCGTATGATTATTCTTCTGATGACCATTACTTATTGATTGTGATGACTGAAGATTAAAAGTATCCGTAGGAACAGTCAAAGGTGGGAAGAATTCAAGTGAAGAAATAGGAGAATCACTATTCAGTATATGATCGAATTCACCTCGTTCTTTGTTATCCTTTTCGCGATTCCTATTCTTAATGGGGTTGCAATCGTAATCTCTACCTTCGTCCTCGTCTATATCCCAGTATTTGTCATTTTTTTCACGAGTATCTTGACGTTCATATGTTGACTTTGCATCAGCGCAATCCTTATGTTCGTCTTTAGCGTTCCCAGATTTCTCTTCGTTCGCATCCCAACTTCGTTGGCTTTCATTGCGTTCATGATCACGAGACCTTTCTTGATTACTAACGGAATCAGCAATGTTTCTGTCCAAATTGTGATTTCTATCGGTTTTTTCATCAGCAATTTCCCAATGTCTGTCACGTCTCTCACGTGGGCGGCCACGTTCATAACCCCCGGTAGGGATACCCCCAGAATTATTCTGAGTCCTTTTTATTCCTTTTTCTTTTTCCATGTTCATTTCCCATTGTCTCGATTTTAGACGGTTACGCTGGTATGCTTCGTTTGTCGTACTTCCACCAACGCCAAAATTTTCTTCAAATTGTTTCGCGTTAGAAGCACTTGAATGTATGGGTGGGGCATAATGATCAACATATCCATTGTGATTCGCCTCATTGTAATGATGAGTATAATAATTTTCACGTCGAGTATCGTAATCATAATTTCTAATATTATCATACCGTGGAATACGGTCTCGGCGGTCGTATGAAGGAATATGTGGAGGTCTAACAACAGGGGAAGATGAACGTCTAGTTGGATAGCGTGCACGTGGTGAGAGAGACCTGCGAACAGTAGGATAAACTACAGGCTGATAATAATAGTCGTCAAAACGCTTGGTATTATTATTATTATCTCTGTATGCTAAATGATTATGTGGTGGTGATTGACGGTGATAGTATGAATCACGGTTGGTATCTTTATAACGAGGAAGATCTCGTTCTTTCTCTCTAAATTCTGGTTCTCGATTATGGCCATAAGGTGGTGGGCGAATGCGAACTGCATCTCTACCATATTCATGATTTGGGGCTCGAAAGCGATGTGGATCCCTTTCAGGATCATAATATCTTGGCTGGTCCCGTGGCCGTACTGGCTGTCGATCCCTTTCTCTCTCCATGATTTTCATGTCCCTTTCACGTCCTTTATCAAAAAGACGTTGTCTTTCTCTATCCAAAAATCGAGTGTTTTCACGATCAAATCCTCTGTCCTTCTCTCTCTCACGTCCTCGATCGCGCTTACGTAGAAAATTTGGTGATTGTCCATCAATATAGTAATCTTTTTTAGGAATTCTTGGTGAAGGATGCCAAGGTGACTGCGAAGGATCAGATTCGAAATGAGGTGATGGTGTTCGCGGTCTGTGGTGCGAAGAATTATGTCCGGAAATAATTGCGCGATTGGGCGAAGATATGGCCGCCGGTGGTGGTGGTGGCGGTGGTGGTGGCGACGAAGAGTCCACATGCATCATGTCGGAGGATCGTGAATAATATGCATCATCTGCATTAATACTATTGGATCGTGTTCTTTTACGACTACTGCTGTTTCTATCCTTTTCATTTTCTACATATTTGACGTTTCGGTTATACAACGGATCATCATTTTTATCCGAAAGATCGATTTCGTATATTTGTCCTCGATTTTGACTATCATTCTTGTCATCTTTATCATTTTGAACAGTATCCACACTTTGATCGCATGAACGCTCATATTCACGTTCTTGTGGTGCATAACTCTGATCTTTCATTCTCATATAATTTCTGTTCAATTGTCCCTTTGGAGAAAACATAATGGTTTCATTAGGCTCTAATGATTGCTTTCTTCTTTCTCTTTTGTTGTCACCCTCTTCTATTCGTCGTTCAAAACCTCTTTCTCTCCTATCGTGTTCAAAACCTCTTCTACGTTCAAAGTCTTTTCGATATTCAATCTCACGACGAGGTTCAAATTCTCTTCGTTCACCGATGTCCCTGGTTCTCATTTCCATTTTGTGATCATTTTCTCGCCTATATCCAATCTCATTTCGGTAATAATTATCACGTTCTCTTCTATTACGATCATAATAAATTCTTCGGTCATAATCAATATCTTTTCTGTATTCATTTGGCCTTCTGTACTCTTGAGTTTGTTGTTTCTCATATCGGTCGTCCGATGGGCGTTCTTCTGCTGCCTCGACACGAATTGGTCGACCTTCAATATTCTGACCATTCATGGCTTTAATCGCGTCTGAGGCAGCATGTTTTTCCTCGAAAGATACAAAGCCGTAGCCTTTACTTAAGCCTACAAACAATTAGAAATGCTACATAAGTAAACAATAAAGTAATTTTTGAAGCATTGTATCAATCTTAACCCACCAGAGTTTCTGTCCTTAACTACGAGAACCTCATTTACAGTTCCGAATTGATCAAATTCGGTTTTTAACTGTTTTTCTGTAAGTTTCCAAGAAAGGTCACCAACAAAGATACGCGTCTTGCTAATAGAGACCCCAAATCTGCTGCCTGTGCCTAGACCACTTTCATTATTAATGTTCAACGGGGCTTGTGGTAGAGCATCTGCTGGTGCTGTTCCTCTAAGCTCATTATTGCTATTCTGCAAAAGGGCATTCGGTTTGGATGGTGGTGTAGCTCCAGTAGTTATAATTTCCAAGCTGGCTTTATAATTATTACGATTTAACTTTACCGGGGTTGATCCTTTAGGCATAATGGTAGTCGCACCGTTACTTTGACTAACAGGAATAACCCCATTGTTTTCTTCAATATGCGTGCTTATTTCTTCTTCACTGAGCTGCAGATCGATCTGTTCTTTTGACTGTTCATAGGACAATTGATCTTCTTCCCTTTGTAGATCCTGATCTTTCTTACTATTATCCTGTTTCATAACTGCTGTATCCATCCTGAAATATTCTGTCTCTCTTTATCGGCAGTAAACTGATGAGCCTCTTTGGAAACTTTTTCAAAACTGGACCCTTCGGTTCAGAGGCGCCTTTGGATGTATTGTGTGTCTTACTAAAAAATATTTCTTTGGCATGTACGTAAATCGGTGTAACACACAGAATGACGTTCTTTCCTAATGCCACTTTTCAAGCTTGATAAAGAAATTTTGAATTTAGCTAATGAACTATCATATCAAACTATTCTTTGCATTGATAGTATATGTAATTTTTTATATAATATCTGTAAAAATCACTTTACTATTGTAAATAAAAAATAATTAATTTCAAGAAAGTAAGATTTAATTAAAAAAATTAATTTTTAAAATTAGGTCTTGGTAAAATTAAAAATATAAAAATTTTTTCTGAATTAATTCAACTTTATAATAAGTGTATAAACTTCTTTTAGAAAATATATGAAAACCATCGGTTTTTAGATTATCAATAGATATAACTGTTATTATTAAATACAATCCAAGTGGATTTTAAAAATAAAAAGTAAACATGTGATCATTTTAATGACACAAAAATCAAATATTTTTTTACATCCCTTATTTAAAATTATTTTTCTATTAAAATTTTTTCTTAATCAAAGAAACAAGATTCTTCTCTTTAAAGTACACATCAACCTAAGTGGTAATCTAGAGTATACATAATTGTACCTTTATGAATTGCATTATATTATTCGCTTTATTACCACGCTATAATGAAGTTTGTGACATAAAATCCATGCGGATCATAATCTAAATTCTTTGAAAGACCACAGCGCCATATTAACTGAGGGTACATAATATAACAAATTTTTTCAAATAAGTACGAGTTAATCCAATCATTTTCAACATGAATTAACTACTGAAACATGTACCTTTTATCGGCGAGGGATACCTCGACCTCGACCTCTAAATGCTCTTTGTGCTCCTCCCCTTGGCATTGGTGGGCCTGCTTGTGGCTTTTCAGATTGCGGATTTTTCACAGTTTCATCAACACTTAATATCAAACACGCGGCTTCAGTGGCAGCAGATATTGAATTTATCTTCACAATCACTGGTTCCCAGACAAATGCTTCGAAGTTATCGGCAACAGATTCACTATTAATATCAACACCGTACCAAGTGGCACCTAAAATGTAATATTAATTGTTATTATTTAGTTTAATATGGTGCGAATTCTTGTGAATAAATACCATGGGCATGTTTCATCCTTAGGTTATTCAAAATATCTGTCGCATCAAAGCCAGCATTGTCACACAGTTGACGAGGAATAATTTCTAATGCCCGTGCAAATGCGCCGATAATCAATTGCTGTTTCCCCACGATGGTTCGAGAGTGGTCACGAAGATATTTAGATAGCTCCATCTATAAATTTTAATTTGAAACGAACCGTTCTCCAGCTTACTCTATATAACAGCTTTTCTAATGCACAAAAAAAAAAAAAACTTAAAGCGAACCTCCGTCGCGCCACCGCCGGCAACTATCAAATTATTTTTAATAGCTCTCTTGACTATCATTATGGCATCATGTAAGCTTCGTTCGACCTCAGCAATGAACTGCTCGGCACCTCCTCTCAAAATGATTGTGCATGTTTTTGCCGCCGGACAACCTTGGAATAGATTGAACCTTTCATTTCCAATTTGTCTTTCTTCAAAACGTTCACATGTACCCAGATGTTTCTCATCAATATCAGAGCATGTGGACTGAATAGACCCGCCAACCGCTTTCACCACACGATTAAGATCTTCAGCAGGCACTCGACCAGCGCAGAAAATATCTCTATCAGCGAAATATTGAGTGGCCAAATCACCAATAGGCAACTTGGATAATACCACTTTTGCTCCAGTCTTAACGATGTTTTCCAGCTTTGAAAATATAATAGACCATTCAGCGTCGACAATAGCTTGGTATTCCTAATTTTTTTTAGTATTAATTAATATTTATATAAAAAGGTTAAAGGCTTTTTATATAAGAGTATGCCTCTACATACATTAACATCTTCAACGCGAACTTCCGCATTATCTTTTTCTGCTTTTAATTCTAGTTCAACGTTTAACGATAAAATTTTTGGGTTGGTAAAAGATTTAGGCTGTTGTTCAAACCCAGCATAAGAAAAGGTTTTTTTGAATGCGACACCACTGACAAGAATTGAGTCCTTTGAATTTATATATGCATTATCATAAAAATCAGTAATGAAATCATCCTGTCATATTCAATAAGATAATTATTATGAAGCTCACTTGCATGGCACCTCCAGGAACTCTCTTTATCCCAATTAGCTTTTCATTCAACTCATCCTGATCTAGAGTCAATACTGCTTCAACGACCATTTCTGTGAAGAAATCTTTATGCGAATGAATTAATTTTGAGGACATGGCCGTCCCAGCACATTTCAAGAGTAAGTTTCGGAATTCCCTAATGAAAAATAATTTGTTCAAGCAATCGAAATTGTATATACTATAGTTGTTTTATAAGAACTTACTCCTCGTTATCACGCTCAATTTTGACAGCAATTTCCTTAACCTTGTTAATGGCCTTTTAATTTGATTATCAAATCATTAGTATTTCATTGGTGACAAAGTTAACAGAATATTCGCGAAATTTTTTTTTACCAATTGAGCAGCTTTCCGATAACCCTTAATTATTACGTGAGGGCTGACTCCCTCTTCAATGTATCCCTTGACTTCTTTTAGCAATTCACCTGCAAGCAAGACCACACTTGTTGTTCCATCACCAACCTATTATATTAGGTATTAATCGAATATACGCGTATGATAACGTGATCTAAGTTCCAAGGTATTTAAGTGATAAACTTACTTCAGCGTCTTGCGATCGAGCAATGTCGACGAGAGTTTTGGCTGCGGGATGCACAATGTCAAGGAGTTTCATGATTGTAGCGCCATCATTTGAAATAGTCACTTCGCCTGGAGCAATATCACATTAATGGAAGGCATTCATTTGCATAAATTTATTATATTAGTAGTATTCTATTAAAAATACCTTTTTCATCAACGATCAATTTGTCCATGCCTCTGGGTCCCAGAGTTGTCCTCACTGTGTCAACTACTGCTAAGCAAGCGTTTATATTCGATAAAAGTTGACCACGACCTTGGGATGCATCTGTTCCTTCTTTGAGCAAGATTATTTGGGGTTGCTGTAAAAATAAAATATATAAAATTATTTATTACTTCAACGTTAAAGTTGGATTTCCAAAATATATATTAAGTTCTTTATTTAACGGGCACAAAAGTCACGATGTCAAGTATAAAGATGACCTAATCGCGCTCTAATAACGCGAACCTGAACTAGAGGCTCTCGGTATAAACGAGAGAATTTCAGTTGGAAACACATACAATCATGGGAAGACCTCGACCAGCCATCTTTGAAAAAAAACACAGCGAGCCTTATGTGAAATATGGAAATATTATTTCATAAATCTGAGGACGATTACGTAGGATGTGACAATGTTACCAATCAGCATATCATATCTGTGTACCATATATATATATATACTCATGTAAATATTATTTTTCACTTGTATCCGAATAACGATCTCGAACCCCAACTTCCTTTTCAAATAAATAAAATATGGCAGAACAAGTTGCAAGAGGTAACCAATACCAATACACTGCTAACTCTAATCTTGTCCTACAAGCAAATCGATCAGAATTACCTCGTCGAGATCATGAGCCTTCTGGTGAGCCAGAATCGTTATGGGGGAAAATCAATCCGAAAGATTTTGGTACCAGAGCACAAAGGGATACCGTAAAGGATCTACAAGCAAAAAAGAAAAAAGCTCAGGAAGCTGCAGAAGCGGAGGAGAAAAAGAGGCGAAGAAAAGAGGAGAGGTTCGTCTAGTATTACTCCTTTTTTCTTTCGAGTTGTTTTCCTGATATTTTTATTCAATACAATTGTTTCTTTAGTGCGTTAAAAAAAGCTTATGGATATTCTAATGTATTGGCAGCTACCGAATATTTTGATGGGTTATCTTACAGACCACGGACAAAAGAGACTCGAGAGACATACGAATTGATTTTAGCATTTGTTCATCAAAACCTCGGTGATCAAGCTCAAGATGTAATTCGAAGTGCAGCAGATGACATTCTGCAAATTTTAAAAAATGATCTACTCAAGGATTTTGACAGGAAAAAAGATATTGAAATGGTTATTGGTACCATTGCACCAGATAGATTTGCGCAACTAGTGAATTTAGGGAAAAAAATAACAGATTATCATCCCGGGGATGCCATGAATTTGGATAAAGACGGTGAACTTTCAGGCGAGATTGACGATGAACTTGGAGTTGCTGTAGTATTTGATGAAGAGGAAGAGGAAGAAGATGAATTCGGAAAATATGAAGTTGAGTCTGAGGAGGAAGATGACGATGAAGGCGGCGTGGAAGCAATGACAACAGGTGTATTAGGTGTTGGTCAAGTTGAGGATGAAGAAGATAGAGAATTTCATTCAGATGAGGAAAACGAAGGGTTCCGAACTGTTACTGGTCCAGACACAGCAAAATCAAAGAAGGTCACTGGTGCACAAGCTATACAGAAGATATCTCCGCATGATATTGATGCCTTCTGGCTTCAGCGTCTAATATCAAATTACTATCCGGATCCACACACTGCACAAGAAAAGACGGCGAACACCATGCAAATACTGGAATCAGACAGAAATACTCGTGACTGCGAAAATGAATTAATGAACCTTTTTGATTATGATAAATTCGATTTGGTCAAGATATTGACAAGAAATAGAGAATTAATTTTATGGTGTACGAAACTTGCCAAAGCTGGAACAGACAACGCCAAACGACAAAGTATTGAACGCGAGATTCGCGAGCGAGGCTTAGAATGGATTCTTAAGGAACTCGGAGGAGAGAGAATTCGTCGTGGTGAAGGTGCCGCTCGGAAAGGTGTGGTTGAGGATGCAATGGAAATAGATGATAAACCTGTACCAGTACATGGTCCAATTTCTGCTTCTGTTAAGGCTACTTTGCCTCCGGTGACGACGGCGATACCTAAAGCTGTAATTGATCTCGAATCATTAATGTTTACACAAGGTGGACATTTAATGTCTAACAAAAAGTGCAAGCTGCCGGAAGGATCTCATAAAATTTCTAAGAAAGGTTATGAAGAAATTCATGTACCAGCACCTAAGCCGAGACCGTTTTCCGATAACGAAAAGCTCATACCGATTACTGATCTACCCGATTGGATTCGTGATGCCTTTAAGGGAGCAAAATCTCTAAATCGTATTCAAAGTAAATTATATCCTGTTGCATTTGGAACGGATGAAAATATATTGTTGTGTGCTCCAACTGGTTCAGGTAAATACCGTTATTCTTTTCAGACTTGTTTAAATTATTTAAATTATAGTTTGGTCTTAAATTCGATTTTTATTAAATACAGGCAAAACTAATGTTGCGATGTTATGTATCCTCAACGAAATGAGTAAGTGGCGCCAAGAAGATGGATTCATAGATTATGACAAATTTAAAGTCGTATATATTGCTCCTATGAAGGCTCTTGTGCAAGAAGTGGTCGGAAATTTTTCAAATCGCCTTCAACCCTATGGTATAAA